ACCGGAGCAGGGGGATGTCCAGAGGAAGCTGTGACCCTGTGAGAAGTCCACACTGGAGCAGGCTCCTGGCAGGACCTGTGGCCCTGTGGAGAGAAGAGCCCGTGTTGAACTTGTACAATAACTTACTTTCCTCAAAAAGAAACAGACTAATATACAATATTCAACATACCTGTGGAAAGAAAGACTGAAGAATAATGTGTGAACATCTCAACACATTATATTAGTACAAAGACTGAAATTAAGACTGGATTACGACTTGACTTCTTCAAAGCTGAAAGGAGTTTGGATGCATCACTGCAATAGATATCTACTTCTACAAAACCCTAGGAGTCTGCTCCTCATAATGCAGAAAAAGCATGACAGTGCTCACAGTAATCATAGGGAATTCCCAGATTTGCCATTACTGATGGGGAGCACTCACATTCTCCTGCAGAGTTCAGCAGAGAAGTCAGTCAATGGGTGTTTAACTCTAGCTGGCATCCTCTGCACTCACTCCTGCAGTTTCACTGCTCCTGCCTCCTGCCAGCACCAACTCCAGAGCTTTTTTCTGCAGGGCTGGCAGCTGCCTCCATGTCTCTGCTCCAGCCAGTGCTGCACAGAGACGTCTCTGAAGTGCTGGCAAGAGAACTCAAAGAGATTCCAGCGGGCAGGGGAGATCTCCTGCCAGGCTAAAGGAGCAAAGGACTGAGGGGAAAGGAATCACTGGGCTATTTAATCCTGTCTTTTCATGTCTGTATAAAGGACAGTGGGAAGCATGTGCTACCAAAGGAAAGAATTTTCTATCATAAAGTGGCACAATTCTTTCTGTAAGCCTTTCCATGCTCTCAGAAAGAAGTAACTTTTTCTTCTCAGAGGGATCAAAAGGAGTCTGCCAGGGGTGACAAAAGAAAGGTAGAAGTTAACCTCCTGACATGGCAATAAGATAAGCTAGTATGAAGGAAGATTATACTGCAAAGACCTTCTAGGACTGAGAAGAAAATTGTCTTGGTTCAGTAAAAAAAGAGGAGATGCAACACCAGAGGATTAAGAAGTGAGGGAACATGGTAAGAATTACAGACCAGAGAGAGACCCCTTCACAGCAGCACTTTGAATAAAGAAAGCTTCAGGGGTCACAGTAAGAGGCAAGAACAATTGTCAGGACACAACTTTAGATCATAACAGTCAGAACAGAACTGTTAGGCCTAGAAGCTGCTGTGCTACATGCAGTAAGACCTCAACACCATCACATGGGTATAAAAAGAAAGTAAAGACAAATAAAAACATGGATGGTATTCAAAGTCGTATTTGTTGATAACAGCAGCCAGGAGCAATGTCTAGAGTCAGGATGAAAAAACATGGAAGGAAGCCTAGCACACTCTTGGAAGCAGAAAAGGAGAACTCGGCACTAAAGATTCAAGAAACAGAAGTAAAGAATCAGGAAATAGGGGGAAGGGGGGCTAAGTGTTTACTGGATTTGGGAAGAGGAATGAGAATTTCAAAAGCAGTCTATCAGTCAAAGAGACAACAATGAAACACAGGCTTTCATGTCTGCGATGATAACTAGAGACAGCAACATGAGCAGCTTTAGCTGATGGAGGAAGGAATGTACCATACTGAAGGAGATGTAGGATGTAATTAGAGCAGGTTTGGATAGCAGGTTTGATAAGGTTACAGATGAGAGGAATGAAACAGAAGACATGATAGTTACAGGAAGGGAATCCAACTGTTTTTTTAATGACAGGGACGGTCTGTGACTACCTTCATTTGAGAAGAAACTTAGGGACTTTGAAAAATAGAAAAAGAAGACAGGATGAATTAGACACATAATAGGAAGGGAGGGGATAATAATGAGAGAGGAAGGAAGAGAAAGGATGAAGTTAACATTTGTGTGACAGCAGAATGAGAAGTCAATGTGGAAAAGGTTAATGACGGAAGTAATTTGTGCTGTATTTTAACTGGCTTTTCTGCAGAAGCAAATGAGGTGGTTGCAAAGGAGACTGAGACTATTTTCTCAAAGAAAGAGAAGCACCCAGTGAAATCCAAATAAAGCAAGTCATGTTTTTTGTATGAGAAAGACTGGATGTAGATCTGTGAGTGAAGACATGAGGACATAGTGACAGACAGCTAAAATGTCAGATTAGGTATCATCAGGGAAAAGTAGCTCAAGGGTGAACATGTTGATGTAGAAGTGATAATCTCTGCCCCATAGTCAATGTCTTATCGGTAATCAGAGTTAGCATTTCTCATTACAGCAGTACAACTGAAGTCTAAAGATTGATCGGAGAGCTTCTCAAATCAGTGTAGTCATGCACTAAACAAATGGCTCTCAAAACCAGATGAATCAAGGAAGAGGGCAAGAAAAATACTGAATGCCTCCTTCAGGGTGTAGCCTTGCTCTGCTGATTATCTCCTAACGTTTTCCTCTCCAGAAAGTGCACTTTATTTTCAGTTTCCATTCTCACGTACACATCCTTAGCCTTGTGCTCAAAATTTACAAAGCTTCAGCTCCTCAGCTCTGGGAATTCTCTGTCTTTCCTCTGAATATTAGTTACATAATAGCTTCAGCTAAGCAATCAAAGCAGTGATAGGTCAAAAGGAAGATTTGCCTGAGGTGATGGAGGAAGCTGATGGCAGAGCTTGAAGCTGAATACACATTTCTCTGCTATTCAGACAGCACAAAACCACCCGACAGAGCCTCCTTCACTGTTTAGATTTTGTTGGCTTTTTTTCAAAGCAGCACTGTTTCTGAAGCCAATGCTACAAAATGCAATGGCATTGAGAGAGCTCATAAGCAAAAGAAATATCCCCAGATGGCACTGCTTTCTATCCCTCAATGGCATTTCCATTATATTGCTAATAAATTATATATCTCACAATCAGTATTTTCCACATCCCTACTGTAGTTCTCCATTTCATTTCAACTGCCTATAAATTTGTACGGTTGTTGAGAAGAGAGAAGTGATAGTATGAGAAGACCAATCTTCCCCTTGGACTTTACATTCGTCACTTTCAAAACACTCAGGTCCAAAGATGCCAGAGCTCACTGGTACTGACATTTCTAGTTGTAAAAGATGAACTTGAAAGTCACTGTTCTATCCCCTCACATCAGTTTTGTGGGACAACTATTGAATATATTATTTGGTAAGTGGTGGTGACAGCAAATACAGCACCAAAATTTAAAGGGATGATTTAAATATTTTTGGCATTGGAGAACAGTGTAACATTTACCTGTCAGCAGTGCAGGATGCCGCAAACAGGCCAAGCAAGGAACAAAACAAGCCAGGGCTCCAAGTACCACTGTCCAAGATGACAACAGTTACTAAGATGACACCTTTCTCCAGCACTTCAAATTGCCACCCTTCAGGGCCTGTTTGGGTTACAATTTATCTGTGATTCCTTAAGGAAAGGGATTGTATTGGAAAGGTATTGCACCACTACTCTCCTCCATGCCATGACATCTTTCTTAGGAATTTCAGGATTTTTCTCCAGTGATCTGGCATCAGCTTCTTGAGAAAATGCATTCAGAACTGAACACAAAGCATGAAGTACTTCAGATCTGAAAAAATTAAATAGGTGTCTCATGAACAAAAAAAGGTGCTTATGAGTTATGCTGATATTCATTACCACTTGTATTACGCAGAGTCTACGCACTACTGCTCATAATGAAGATGCTTTTATGCTACTTGGTATTAAAAGGGAGCAAAAAGACTGTTCTATCCCTTGACGTTTATTGTCTAATAAAATTGACAGCTGATGGATACAGACAGATGGGGAACGGAAGGGCATTAATGAAAGAATAACAATCAGCACAATGGTAACATCCCACCTCAGATTTCTGAAGTTCCTTTAAGCATGAAGAATGGTTGCTGAAGGGCAATTACAGTGAAATTACATAATGCAGAGGCAAGGCTACATGTATGTAGAACAATCTGGGTTTCCACTGCTTTTTAAGAAGGTCATTGGAAACTGTTTCTTTAAATGTTTACAAAAGTTGGTTTTCTTGCACAAGTCTTGGTTAACACTGTGAGAGCTTGAGTTCTCACTCAGAATAAATGCTTGATGTAAATGCTTGGGTTACACATTCTAGGCTGATTTTGACATCAGGTTAGCACGGTTTCCTCTGGTTATTTCTGCGAGCATTCCAAAGACACACATACTTTGAATTCATAACAGCTTACAGGTCTTATATTCAAACTTAGGCACATGTTTGCCACTTAGATAAAAACTGAGCTCTGACGAGGAGCTACCTCTTACCTGCTGCAGCATTTACAAGGACATTTTAACCCAGTGTAACACAATTATTCCTGCAAGCAGCTTTGCCCAAAGTAGAAATAGGATAAAAATCGAGACAAGCTAGACTTAGGCTTTGGTGTGATCCCAAATAATATCTGGTAACGCTTCTCTGTGTCTTAGACTTTTGGTTTACAAGGCACCAAACTGCTTTCCTCAGAGCAGGAACTTGTTATAACGGCTCAGATGACTACTTATCACAGCTGCAGGACAGCCTAGATGTGAAACGAATCAGGTACTGCCTGTAATCCAACTAAAGGTAACGTGTGCTATTTGTTTTAGTGAAATCTTTAGTGACAACCAGCCCAAGCCGCCATGGTTTGCCTTCAGCTAAGCCGCAGTGCGTAGGTACGGGCCGGCTGCCTGCCGACACGCTCCTTAGGCTGGGGTTCACCACGACGCCGCAGGGACTCGGGGCCGACCGATGGTGCCGGGGCTCCCCGGCAGCGCCCAGCGCTCTACCTGCCCGTAGGCAGCACCCCCCGGGCGGGCGGGCAGCGCTCCCGGAACCAGAGCTGTGCCCCAGAACCGCTCAGGAGCACTACACCATTCTCCTGCCGCCAGCCACGGCGGCAGGGCTGAGGCAGTGCGTGCCGGGAGCGGGAGGCGGCCCGGCCGGGTCACGTCCGCCCCCGGCCGCGCCCCCGCCCCTTCCTGTCATGGCCGCTGGCGGGCCGCGAGAGCGCGGTGAGGTGGCGTGAGCCGGTGCCCCCCGCAGTTGAGGCGGCGCGGAGCGGGAAGGTTCCCCCAGTGCGGAGCCGGCGGCAGGAGGTGACTGAGGGGCGCCGTGCGGGCAGGGGCAGTCCCGGGGAGCAGCCGTCTACAGCCAGCCCAGCGCCGCTGGGAAGGGACGGGACGGAACGGGTCCGTGCCCGTGGCTCCCTGTTTCGCGGCCCCTCCAGTGTGGGCCGGCCGGATGCGGGCGAGAGCCCCCCTACTAGCCCCGATGGGGGCTGCTGGAGAAGCCGCTGTCCCTGGTGGCCCAGGCGGCCTCGGCCACGGCGGAGCATCTGGGCGGGGGGGTTCTATCGTGTGTCCCCGCCAGTAAGCCTCTTCTGCGGGAAAAGCGGCTGCGGAGCGGGTGGGTCCCGGCGGCATGCCGAAGTTGGAGGGAACAGGAAGGATAATGCTTGTCCCGCAGTAAGGTGTGCTCGGAGACACGTACCCGGGGAGGGGCTGGCACTGAAATTCGGATCCCCGCCGGAGTGCAGTGGTCTCCCTGTGCTCACGGGGATGTCCAGCTTCATAAGGCGTTGGTAAGTGATGTGCAGCAGCCATCCAGCCCTGAACAGCGGGTACAGAAGGCCCACGTAGCACAACGTGAAGTCAACAGGCACAGCGGACTGCAGGCAGGAGAGCAAGTAGGGCTCCAAAACATTAGTTTCCACCGAGCTGCATAACAAGATAGCAATCCCACCGTGGCTTTCTCATGATAGTAAGTCATTTACTTTTGCAATTGTGAAGATAAAACCGTAATTTCCTGAGTCCCACAAAGGTATTTGTAATATATCAGTCACATCAGTTGGCTTTCAGCAAGACAATTCCAGGGAGGAAGGAAAGGGAAATCCTATCACGTTCCTTTTGCTTTCCTTTTTAGATAACGCTGAAGTACCTGCTTCCAAGCTTTCCACCGCTTTTCTCCTTTAACTTCCCCTTGGGTCAGCTGGCTGTCAGTATGCCTTCTACCAAGAACACCTCAAAACTTTTCCTGGTCCTCAGTTCACTGCTGCTGCAGCTGCCAGTAGCTGAAGCCCTGGATGCAGGAGATACCATCGCCTTCCTACTAGGCCTTGCCGTCAGTGTGATTGGATTCTGTGCCTGCCTTGGCTTGTACGCAAGGAAAAGGAATGGGCAACAGTGATTTCAAGAAGATGCTCAGATGAAGTGAATTTCCAAACATGGCTTGGGGTTGAGATCTGGGGCGTGAGACTGAGCTGTGGTTCTGGATGACTTTCAGAAACCATGTAGTAGGTATTTTTGCAAACCCCTCTTACTGTGCAAGGCAGCAGAATCAAGACTACACAGTAAAAGGGATTTGTTGGATCTGTCCTTGTGACAGTAACATGGTTTTATATTGCTTGTGTTTAGTTGTGATTAAATACTTTCTTAGAGAAGGATAAGAACTTTCTGAACAGGGAAGGAAAACCACAGTGGTTCACAGTAAATGTTTATAAATGGAACTTGTGTGGGAGACCATCAGCAAGTTCCTCAATTGTGGTTTCAAGGGTTAATGAGGTGGATGCAGCTGTTAATCTTCCAGTCAGAACAACAGAGCTTTGGAAGTACTCCTAACTAGATAGCTAGTGAGCAGACTGCTTTGACTTGTCTGCACATGCTCACATTCTTCATAATGACAGTTAACACCTAACAGGTCACAGAGATGAGACATCAGAGAACATTTAAACCTTTTTTTTTTTCACTTGTTTTAGAACATGCCTCTCCTGTAGCCTGTGTTCTGGTTACCAAGTAGATACACTTAAGAATGGAACCAGTATTTAATGTGTATTTCACAGAAAAGTACACAAATTGGGTTAGGGATATGGGGTTTGTCTCTACTTTTTTGTACTCAGCTTTCTATTAGGCACACCAGGTTTAAGGCTTATTTCATTTGGTGTTTGTAATTTTTTCCCCAAAACAGAAGTTACCTATTTTAATGAGGAATTATCTGTAATACTTCTGCATTAGGGGGCCATTAGAATTATAATGAGACAGTTGTGCACATACTTCTTTTGGAAATGTGTTAAAATCCTGGTTTTAGTTAACAGGTCCATTGTTCTTAAGTGTCTTCCTCATGACAAACTTATGCTGCTAGCTAAGTGTTTAGGCTTCTTACGTGACTGATGCATATATGTTCCACAAAAGGTCAGCACCAAAACCAAAGTAAAAAGTCCTGATGCGAAATGGGTGATGTAAGTTGTCTTACTCTATTCATGCTTAGTCAGATTGTATGGTGTATGGTTGAAAGACTACTCAGTAGCATACCCAAAACCCATTTCTTTCTTTTAAGTACCAAAGGTAAGATGGCACAGCCAAGAATGTCTACCACAAGTCCCTCTGGCTTGTTAGGATGTTCTAGCTTCCGCTTGAGCGCAGTCTGTAGCAGCAGCAGGATAAGGAGCACAGGAAGGTGAGCTTTCCACAGTTCACAGAATTTCCTTCTGATTTTGTGGTGTGAACCCTGCCACTTTTGCTAGAAATCTTGGGGGAGAAGTTTAAACGTGATGCAGTGCCACATACTTTGATATTGTTCCTCCCTCTGTGTCTCTGTTCAATAGAGCACAAAGCACAATGGCTAGAGGAGTTGTCAGGCAGGGCTGTAGTGAAGATTTCTGTATGCCATTTGTGACTGGTTTGAATTTGCTTTCCAGCCTCTGAGGAGGCAGAAGCCCTGGTGATTTCAGTCTTGCAATTTATACCCCTCCATCAACCCCATGGTTAATGGAGGGAGGAAGGTAAAACGAAAGCTTCTGAAGTTGCGTGGGGTTAAAACTACAGGACTCTATCCTGCAAGCCACAAGAATGTAGGTTTCTGCTCTGAAGTTACAGGGATAATAATGGTCACAAAGTTACTCTGATCAGATTTAAGTCTTGCCAGATAGCTCTTCTTGAACCCTTTTTGTGAATCCCAAAAGGCAGAAAAGGACATAGTGCACAAGTACTATGTACAGGTGAAATTTACAGCCCTAAGAAGAGCTTCAGCCAGTAGTGTCACCTTTGAAAGCTGCCTAGCAGCAGTAGATGATCCTGAATCTCATTTTTTAACTGGGTGGATGCAAGCACACATAAAGTGTGATCTTCCATGTTCCAGCTTGGCTAAACTATTACCCTGGGAAAAACAAACAACAACCCACAGAACCAACACACCATTAACTTTATATTTTCCAAAGTTAGAGAATTTTGCCAATTTTTCAGAAGAGTATTAAATACTGCTCTCTCAATAGAATAAATTTTATCACAAGCAGCTTTTCACAGACTTTTTTATCTTTACATTGGAAAAGGTCCCTGGCAGTTTTGCAGAGCTGTGCAATAGCTTTGTTGCAGGAGAGGTAAACTTTAGCAGAATAGTTAGCATTAAGCGACAGGGATATGTGGAACTGTGTTCTTTGCCTGAAGCTCTATGTTCTATTGAAAGGTATTTGCACAGTGTAATGGTGTTGTTTCCTGCGTTCTGACAGAAGCTTTATTGTTAAAGACTTGCATTTGTTAATGGCTTGAGTGTAAAATCGGATACCCCTGTTTTTCTTTTGTCTTAATAAACTTTCATGTATGATTTGTCATCAGCTTGATAAAGTAATTCTTATGAAAAGGAAAATCAGGATGACAAGAAATTAAACTGCTTAAATTACTTATATTAAATACTTTTTTCTTATATACTTTTGCCTATGTTAGGTGACTTTACAAACTAATGTGGCCTTTTAGTCCTGTTGTTTATCTCATTTCCATACTAGTTAGTTCAGAGTACTTCAAGGGGGCTGGTCCCCTTACTTTGAAACTGGCAGCTTGCGTTGTGAAGAAGCCCGTTTCTCTGGTACAAGGTAAACTTGAAGTATTTATTTTTCCTTTTGAATGTGATTTTTAAACATTATTATTATGTAGTTGCCTTTATACTAGAAGAGCCATTTATGGTAGTTTTCTAGCTGGAAATCCAAGGATATAAAGGACCATTTTCTTTTTTTCTAAAGAAAAATTATGTTCTAGTGCTTTACAATTATTTGAATTATACATTTATATATTTTCTAGGCTTCAAAAGAGCTTGTTTTATCCCAGCATTTTATGAAAACAGTTCTAGCTCATGTGGGACTTGAGCTAGTACACAAAGCAGTTCACTGCACACTAAACTAATACCGTTAGTGGCTGTCTTTAGAGCACAAAGCCAAGACAGCCTGACAATGCCTACCTCTTAACAAATACAGCCTACCCTCTAATTAGTGCAAGAAAGCTGCAAGTCCTGAACGACTAGCTTTTGACTGCTATGATTTCCATCTGCTTTAATAGTGTAGCTCAAAGTCAGCCATCCTACAAACATTTAACAGTCAGTGTACAGTCCCTTTGTAAATGGACAGAAACCCTTCGCTCTTCATGGTGTACCTTCAGGCGCTACACACCAGCTAGGCATTGCCATTCTGTTGGGTACAACAGTATGTGGGACCAGAACTCTAAACACTTCACCCAATCCCTAATGCACTTGCTTCCCTGGCTGTATGAAAACGGATCAAGAACTACTGTGAAGCCTTTCTCCCACTCAGATAAATCCTGCTGCCAATGGTGCTGCTTTAACACTATTGTGAGACTTGGCAGTTCTACGGTGCCTTCTATCTTAGAACCCTTATATGCTTACAGGTATTAATGTTTGCAACCCTAGTGTAGCCTTTGATGAGTGAACAAGTAGAAGGAGAGTCACTGAGTTGCAGTGGTGTCACACGAAGTAGGTCATATCTCCAGGATGCTCACTATGATTTCTGGAGGGTGTTGTGCTTGTGGTTCTTGGCCACCATGTCCCTGCCCATGAGAGCTGCCCCGGACCAGCTTAGAGACTCATGTGTATGGACTAGATAAAGCCTGAAGCCTTGATTCCTCTTTCCATGAAGCTGATTACATAGGCTTTGTGAGAAGGGAGCAGGGAGCTGGGCTTACCATTTATAATAACATAAAACATGACTAAATGGATGATTCGTAATAGGTCTGTTACCATGAGAGGTGCTTTAATTATTATATCACAGAAGTAACCTTACCATTCAGTTTTGCATCTGATGAAAGGTTTGGCAGATGTCAACTGATACAATGACAAGAGGTTGTTAAGAGTGGTGGAAAGGAGAGCTTGGATCTGTTTGTCCTTGCAGTTTACACTTGAACAAATTGTTAGTAAATGACCTGAAGTCAACAGAAATACAGGTTGTTCACTTGATTAGAAAATTAAGACCAATAATTCATAAACAAATGCAGAAACATACTGGGTGAGATTGATGTGACCAATCACAGAATCATAGAATACCAAGTTGGAAGGGATCTCAAGGATCACCTGGTCCAACCTTTCTTGGCAAAAAATGATCTAGACCAGATAACACCCTATCCAGCTGAATTCTGAAACTGTCCAGCATCAGGGAATCCACCACTTCCCTGGGGAGATTATTCCAATGGCTGATTGTTCTCGTCGTGAAGATTTTCCTCTTGTGTCCAAGTGGAATATCCCTGGAAGTAACTTGTACCCATTATCTCTTGTCTTTTCCATGTGACTCCTTGTGAAAAGGGACTCTCTGCCTTCTTTGTAGCCACCCTTTAAATACTGGAGTGTGGTGATAAGATCTCCCTGAGCCTTCTTTTCCCCAGGTTGAACAGACTCAGCTCTCAGCCTTTCCTCACATGACAGGCTTCGCAGTCCTTGGATCATGTTTGTGGCCCTTCTCTGAAGATGCACAGGACCCGAAACACTTAATTCCTGCTGAAATCAGAACTTGCAAGGGACAAGTTGTTAATACATTAGATACTGACCACACTACTAAGCCTTAAATTGTTAAAGAATGTAAGCAGTTTTGAAACTATGAAGATTTTCAGTTCACATGAATACAGAGTAGCACCTAAATACTACATTTCCAATATCAGAAAGCAAGCTTTCCAGCAAGCAAGCTGGAATTTACATACCAAGCTATGGTATGGTAAATACCATAAAAGCACATCTACTTTTAAGTAAAATTAAAAGAATAAAATTGTATAACTATTCAAAACCTTTCCAGATGTTGTACTGGTCTTGTCAGGTCCATTTGTCTGTAATGAAATTTGAATATACGTGGAACGCTCTGTCACATTAAGGTGCAAGCACACTAGACAGCACAGCCTTTCGTTTCTGGATCATTCATCTCATTAGTGCAGAACAGAGATTTTCATGAGCAAAGAGACCTCTATAAGAAGTGAAGGCCTGAAGGTGGTGCGGTATCCAGCAGACCGAGGAGTTGCGACCGCTAGGGGCAGGGAAGAATGAACTGTATCCCCAGACATGCTACTGTATAAAACTAGAGCTTGCTGCTGTCTTGGGTTAAAGTTTTGTGTTCTGCTTGAGCTTTCCTGTTGGTTTTATTGGTTGTATTCCTACTCACTAGTCTTTGCCTCAGAAATTTCAACTGGAACCAGCACTACTATCAGCTTTCCCAGCTGCCATTCATTCAAGGCACTAAAATGTTTGCACACATCTTCGTACTGCTACT